TCAGCAGGAGAGTTGGAAGCCCCATCTGGCTTCGCCCATACTTTGGTGATAGAAAGTTTCTCTGAGAAGGGGAAGATGGGTGCTTGAATCCCCCAGGATCCTCACCATGTCCTACTGCTTTTATCACAAGGCTAATCAGTAGAAGGACGATATGGGCACCATCACTACAACAGAGGGTGAAAAGTGCTGCGTTTCATACTCAGTTCTTCTGCCAGTTAGATAGGCATCCCCCTGAGCCAACAGGATCCTGATATGAAGAAAACACCTCCTTTGCAAGACTTAAACTGTTACCTAAACTCTGAGGAGGAAGAGGAATGCAGTCTGCCCTGGATCAGGCACATCCTATTGGTTAGCTATAGGCACTTCCCTGCTCAGTGACTAGGGCCTGACTCTCAGCCAGGGTACGCCGAGCTGCTTTCAGGGGTGTCATTTGGTGCAACACAATGTTGTCACTTAGGAGTCCAAACATGGTTCATAAGATAAATTCAGAGATTTCAAATAGGAATCCATAGTGTCTAAAACTTTCTGACCCGTTGTCTAAGCTCTTGCAACAGAAGAATAGGTCTATTACTTCTCTATAGTCAAAAAGGAAGTAATAACCAGGGATCCTGGTTTTCTCTGATTTAAAAAAAATCCCCAATTTTCTGATTAAAAAAAAGTAACCTCAAATCCACATTTTTCCATGACTGCAACACAGCTGTATACATATTTATATATTAGTGGCGTTTCATTTTAATCAAGGAAAAATATTGATTTGGGGTTATTTTTTACAACTGAAAATTGGGGATTTTTTTTTACATCAGAGAAAACCAGGATCCCTGATGATAACGAGAGCTGGCATTTTCTGAGAGGATCCCTGAGTCTAACGAGGGGCACCTTGAGTCTAATAAGGGATGCTTTGACTCTAAAAAGGTTGAGAACCATTGGACGAAGGGGATCTGTATTGGCTTGGGGAGGCACCTTGGTCTTCCCACTTAGTGTACACAGCACTCATTGCCTATCCTACATCGCATGTTATAGGCTTTGCAACACCTAAATGGAGATATCTCAGAGGTCTATTAGGATCTGGGCCTTATCTATGTATAGCAGGTAGACAGTTGCTCTGCAGTTTTCATAGATTTCATAGACATTAGGACTGGAAGGGACCTCAGAAAATCATTGATTCCAGCCCCCTGCCCCAGGGGCAGGAAGTCAGCGGGGGTCAAAGGATCCCAGCAAGATAGGCAGCCAAATGTTTCTTAAGAGAGTCAAGAGATGTTTGCACCACCTCTGAGGGAGTCTATTCCAGGCCTTGGGGGCTCGGATAGTAAAGTTGTTTCTTATGTCGAGCCTAAAATGGTCTTGTAGGAGTTTGTGACTGTTTGACCCTGTCATCCCTTGGGGGCTCTGAGGCACCTGGTAGAAAATGCCAGCTCTCAGCTATCACTTGTTGGGGTTTTTTTTGACTGCAGACCAATATCAGGAATGTATGTGGTAGCCGTGTTGGTCTGAGACCAAAAGAAATGCAAAAATCTAGAACTTGGTACCTTTGTATTAAAACCTTTTACCTTTAATAAAACACCTTTTATTAGACCAACTGAGAAATTGCAACATATATATGTATCTTTTTCTGCAAGCTTTTCATCAGGCTCAGGGAAAGTTCAAGATGGTAAAAAGTCCCCATAGGTAGGAAATAAACATGGTTTTGCACAGAGAAAAAGCACCAGAGAAGTCTTCTGCGGGCAAGCACCCGGAAAGCCGCAGGCGGGGGGGGGACGCGGTCCTGCCTGAGCGCCCCGGTGCCTGTGGCGAAGCCGGCCCGCACCCCGCAAGGGAGCTCACTCCCTCCCGGTCTCGCGGGGCGGGCTGCG